CTTTCATTAAAATGATTAAAATCATTAAAATTTGATTGAAACATAAAAGAGTAGGGTTAAATGGTATTAATTAATTTTGTATTTACATCTAATCGTGTTGGAAGCTCAACGCAAATTTCGTGTGTATCTACTTATCATTACAAATATACTAAATTTATCATTAGACTGAGTAGTATAAGAAAAAGTAAAGAAAATGTCTATTATTTTTCAATTAAATTATGAAATGATTATATAAATATGAATTACTTTTTTTTCATAATGATGTAAGAAATGAATATCAAACATGAAGAGGAGAAACAAAAGAAAGTAAACGATGAAAAAAATCTTACGTCACTTTTGGAAGACGTTTGATTAAACATTCAAATACGCCTAACTTACATAGGTATCCGTAACTTTAAAGATTTATTTAATTATTATCATGAATATTATAAGAGAAAATGTAATAAACAAGAAGATGACAAACAATCGACACCGTGCAACAAACAAGATTCAGAAAGTGCTATTGAAGAAATACTATACGAAATTTTATATTTCGATGAACCTAATTATAAAGCGTTACGGATTATCTGTCGATTCCATTATAAAATAAATCTTATAATTACGATAATTATTAACCAACATAACAAAATTAATAATTATTTAAAACAGTTGAAATAATTCAAATAATTTATTGCTTCATATTTTTTTTTAATGGATAAAGCAAAATTTAAGATAATATTTACTAATACACTACAAATCTACTTTAGCACTAAAGGTATTGTGAAAGGAACGTAGAAAAATAACTTGTCAATTTAATATTATTTAAATTTCTATGTTGATCAACTATATTTACATGTCAACATTTCGGTTTAGTTGATTTCTTAAAATTACTGACAGCCATGTGATAGCTGACTATGAGTTCGCAGTTCCAGCACACGATCTAGATAAACATGCTAAGAACATCAGGATTAAAGAAATTGTACTAAGATTTACCGGAGAATCAGTAAAAATGAATAACGCAACAATTGAGAAGGATTTCATTAAAAAAACTTAACAAACTTTAATTCAACCTTACCAGGAACACAAGACAATGAGAATCAAATTTAAAAAGAAACAGAACAATATATACGAAAACAAAGAAAGAACGAGAACAAAGGAAATACATAAAATCAAATAAGAAATGAAAAGAATAAGATGACGTAACAAATTTATCAAACATCGTGCTTTCGAACTGACTCATTCGTCGACTAACTCTAAAAACACTGAAAAGCTAATTATAACTTATTATTATCCTTAATTTGTACCTAACTACCTTAACTAACTTAATCTTAACGAAACTAGCTTCTTGAATTATTGTTAAATTTATTTATCTATCTACAACATACACGACACTACTTTCTCTTACCCGTTTATCACCCGAAACAAACCTTCAGACATGATGTCCGTTTATTACATTGAATAACATAATACAGAGTAAATAACATACAGCTAGAATCCGAAAAGTGAAACAAAAAACGTAGCGTCTTTTAGACAACAATTTTACAACAACCAAGATTTCAAATCACAGAAATTATGTTATGATTTTGAGCAATTTAATTGGAAACAAATGAGGTCGATAGAACGAAATATAGAAATGGTAATAAAAATATGGAAAATAAATCCTGCATTCATACAATAATACTGTTAATCGTTGTATTGGCTTAGCTCATCCAGTTGTAACAAATCTTATATATTATCCTTATTTATATTCAGACGTGTTTAAAAAACGGACCTTCCGAACAATCGAATACTTTCACATAGATGACAAACTTCACGCTGTTGTAAAAAAATGATGACTTCCATTCTTATATGTTAAATTTGAAATCCACGGCAAACATTTTTTAAACTTTCATAAACAAACTTTTCCAACATTCCCTCTAAACGAATTAACCTAACGTGTCATTAGAAAATCTAACTATTTTATTTTTATTTGCATATAAAAATAACAATAGAACGATTACATCTAGCAAATATCTACAATAAAATTTTTGAATAACCACGGAATAGTGAGGGAAGCTTGTGTACTTATAATTTATTTTACTTCATAAATATTATATTCTATATTGGTGTATTTCGGTGCGTGCAAAAGCACATTCCTACTTTCATCTTTTAAAACTTTCTTATTAGAAACGTGAACAATTCCATCCAATAAATCCTTCGAAGGCTATAATATAGAGGCGTGAGGCCTTTAAACTGCGGAACCGTGTATTTGTTGGAGACGCATCGATGAAGAGCTTGTGATCATTGACCACTCTAACCTGAGCTATCGGTTAATCGTGCGCCTCATTTATCACTGTTCATGTGGCATATATCTCACTGAGGCGGTTCCGTTCATCCACTGAACGTGTTGCACTTCCAGCTAGTGAATTCAGTAAACATTTACGATACTACCAATAATTTACATCTTTCAACCTTTAGCGAGCGTTACCTTCACTTGAGTGACTTTTTATAATTTTTGATTAACGATTTTATGACTCCTAATCTAAACTAGCCAGTATATGCAACCCGTTGATATATACACATTCAGTAACACTTATAAATATCAGATGAAATCACACGAAACAGATTGATTCATTTTTATTATAATCATCCCTGTTTTCCTATCTGCTCGCTGTGGATTTCACAATATGACTAACCTCCCCATTTACCTAGGTTATCTAATAAACATTATCATGAATTACTTTGACATATTAATAACGCGGCTCGAAATATTTCATTATTACCACAAAATGCTACATTTCCCCTATAATGGGTTACATCGATGTTAGATATAATATGCGTTTTATGTAAAATTGTTTTGAAATCATAAAAATTTGCACTACGCGATGAATTAACTTCCACTACGTACGATAACGAGCGAAATCAAACATCTATATTACGATGATTCTAATCTAGGCTTAAAATAAACATATCCAATTCGTTAATATCTAAATTCATCAACCTTTTAACAATTTAATATCTACTTCATGTAGAAGTAAAGTGCCGAAGTGAGTAAAGTCGTTACTATCAGTGAAGATCGTGAAAGTATAAACGAGGAGACATTTGTGTACTACATTTACCCTGTACTCTAGGATTATAGTGAAGTTACTGGTAACATTAATTTTACGGAAGTCGTATCTGACGTAATAAACTGCGATAAGCGCGATAGTATGGGATTTCAGTCGTTGCTTATTAGGACAAGCTTTTGTATTGTATATTTTCAATTTGTATAATCAAGCAAAACTCGGAAAGTATCAGAATCGA